TGAGTGTGTGCGTGAGTGTGTGTGTGTGTGTGTGTGTGCGTGCGTGCGCGAGTGTATCTGTGTGTGAGTGTGTCTAAGTGTGTGTGTGTCTGAGTGTGCGTGTGTGCGCGAGTGTGTGTGTGTGTCTGTGTGCGCAAGTGTGTGTGCGTGTGTGTGAGTGTGTCAGTGTGCGCGCGAGTGTGTGTATGTGTGCGTGAGTGTCTGTGTGCGAGTGTGTGTGTGAGTGCAAGTGTGTGTGTGCTTGTGTGTGAGAGAGTGTGTGTCTGTGTGTGTGTCTGTGTGTGAGTGTGTCTGTGTGCGCGAGTGTGTGAGTGTGTCTGTGTGTGTGCGCGAGTGTGTGTGTGTGTGCGCGAGTGTGTGTGTGTGTGTGAGTATGTGTGTGTGTGTGAGAGAGTGTTTGTCTGTGTGAGTGTGTGTGTATGTGTATGTGTCTGTGTGAGTGTGTGAGTGTGTGTGTGTGAGTGTGTGTCTGTGTAAACTTTAAAAACAGGAAGAGAAGACAGGACAAAAGCAGTGGCAGCGGAAGCGTCTCTGGACTCATGCACGCTCATCTCTTTCATTTGGTTTAATCGCTTCTTTCCTCAGTCCTGCCTTTCATTAAATAAACACAGTTCAGGTTCAACTCATAATAATCAGTCCGCGACCAAGATGGTCTTTCACATCCGACTGAAGGTAGTGTTTCATCACGGCCATCTTTACTCCTCCGTTTGTGATGGTGATGAAATCCATGAATCTCTAAAACTCATTGGTCAAGCGCACGAAAAAACGTACAAAATGATTCAAATGTCAGTTTTATGACTGTGGTTTGTGGTCTGGACGTTGAGTGGACAGTTCAGATTCAGTTTCCAGGTCCAATGCATGAAATGGCAGAACTAGTTTCACTCTCGGTTTCTCAAAACATAATGACGGTCAGGGTCAGGTTCGAGGTTTGGAGGCAGTGGAGATGCTCGTTAAACAGCCTGATTTAAACTCCTTCACTCGTCATTCTGAAGCACAATTCAAACAACAGGAACGAGGCCACGGTCATCCGACACATGGCAGAAGAAAAAGAGGATAAGAGACTAAAAAATGAAAAGAAGAGAAGAGGCGGTGTGAGAGCAGACAAGATGATGAAAGAGAGGCAACAGAGAGCCACCGGACAGTCTTCATTAAACAGAGTAATTGATCTGAATCCATGTGTTTGATGAGCCGGAAGCAGAACTGAAGCTGACGCAGCGGTGCACTTCATCAGACGCTCCACACAAAGCAAGCTCTCAGGAACCCTCCACATTACTGCTCAGAAAAACAAAACCCTAGAAATAAATACAAGCCATAAATAAAAAATACATGACAAAACAAAGCCATTGAGCGTTTCACCATTGTGTGAGTGAGAGACACGACAGCAGCACTCCTCTCAGCAGTCAGGTTTGATTAAACTCTAGAGAAAGACATTTACACAGACTAGCAATAATACTGTAGACACTCGAGCCGTCCCTCATGCAGCAGGCTGCATCATCAGTGTGTTTGTCAGTCCTCCAGCGGCCAGAACCCCGACGCTTCTTCACCAGCTGAGCAGAGAGGTGCGTCCCAGCGTCATGAAGTACACCTGACTGGAGCCGCCGGAGCGCACCGAGGCGAAGAACACCTGCAGAACACACAGAGCGTCACAACAGCATATTGGAGCACCAGAGCTTCACCCAGTCTTCAGAGTATCTCACAGAACCTCTCAAGAGCCATCATTCACACCAACAGCAAAACACAGAAACAAGCACATTTACACTTTTTTACACAGTTATAACAGATCACATGTTTGACCGATTGCTGCAAAACAGTCTGGATGTTATTCTGAATGACGGTTGCCATCAGACTCGTATTACTGTTAAACATGGAATTAATACATCTCCATCAAATTGCGGTAATTCAAGATAATAATACAAACTTCAGAAATATTTTTAATTTTCTTTACGCATCTCACAGGTAAAGCCCATGAACTGATTTGACAGTAAAAGAGCCTCCAAAAGCGCACCTTGTCATTCCTCTCACACAGAAACTTGAGTCGCTGTGCTCTTTTATGCATGAAAACTCCATCCAGGTGGCCTGTTTCCACCGAGCGGATCTCTATGGCCTTCTCTCCCCAGCCCATGATCTGGTTAGAGCGGATATACGCTGCAAGACACACAAACACAATCACACACGCGTAGATCAAGCTAGGCTACATTCAGTCTCATTGACTGGGTCTACTGACTGATTGAGTGCCGTAACAGATGCATTAAACAGATATTACAACATAAAAACATGAGGGCATCATTTAGCAGGAGTGCGTTTTGAGCAGAAATGTCTCCAAAGGAAAGCGCAGTCAGCAGTCTGACTGTGTCCGGCTTGGTTCATGACCACACCTGAAGACTGAGGCGCTTCGGAGCGAGGGAACCGGCACGGGATCAAGCCCCAGAAGAGATTAAACACTGAGCAGATGTGGGCTACAAGCCAGGAGCAGCTCAATGGTGCAGTGGCTTCACAGTTTAATTCACAATTACATCTGATGCGATTCGATTCTGCATTCAGCATTATTAAAATGCTTCCCCTCGATTCTTTATAAGCTTAGTCCGGGGGCTATTACACAGCAGCCTTATGGAGTCAGAGTGAGAAAAACACTTTTGTCCATTGTTAGATGTTAGTTTAATGATGCTATGGCATGACATATGGCATATGTAAAATTTACCCTAGTAAAAGAGTACTGTATTTTAAAAACATTTATTTCAAACTAAGTATAGTTCAAATCTATTCATATATTTACTTGCATATCGCTTGAGACTTACTGATATAAACTTTATTTGGAGTTAGGGCTGTGATGTGATAGTCATGCGCATCTCGTCAGTAAAGCGGTTCTGTGATTAGTAGTAAATCTCCAGCACGTGCCTTCAGATGGAGCGGCATTTAATACACAGAGCCGTAGTTCACTGACAAGCTACGCAATATCACGTACATAATCACAGATGAATGGCCTTCGATGATGAACGTGATATTGCGCAGCTGCTTCATGCTGAGATACTGAGCTCATTCAGTCATTCTGTCAGCAGCGGGGCTCTCTAAAAGCTCTACACGTCTCAAAAATCATTTTAATGAAGTCCAAAGTCACTGCTAGATCCTTAAAACTTAAACTCTCGAGTTCAGACGGTGTGTCAGCGACTGAGAAGATCATCTCTGACTCCCATTAACTCTCATGGCAGAAGTAAGGAGGAGAAGAAAATCAGTGCACAATGGGTTTTTACCTGCCTGAGCCCTATCAGCAGTATTGGTCATTTGAGCTGCCTATACAATAGCTCAGTAAGTTACCACATAAAGAAGCTTCCAGTCACAGCACAATACAGCGTTCAAAGCAAACCACACGCAAGAGCTAACTATACTACACTGAAGTAAAGTAGTAGGATAAGCTTCTACATGGATATGGGAGTCTATAAATGCAATTTAGCTTAAATTTGCAAAAAAAAAAATCAGATTCCATGACCTTTCAAAATAGAAGAAAAATAGACTTTAGAGTAGGGCTGGACAATAATTCAATATCAATATGTATCGCGATATAATTTTTTTCACTAATGGTGATATGATTTTTAAACACATTTCCGATATTTCGATATACATTACCAGTTTCCCATACATTGATTTATTTGTGCCGTTTGACTTCGTTGAATAAACATGAGCACTGCACGTTTCAAAATCATAACACGGCGCGGGTGTTTTATATGAATGTATCTCTGAAGGGACCCGACTGTCTTCAGAAAAGTTTCGATGGCATTATTTGATCTGATAAAGTAGCGTTCATGAGCGGAGCTGCTTTGTTTACAGCCGTTACCGGGGAAACCACTGTTTCTGCCGCTCTCACAGCGCCTCCTGCTGGCAGACAATAGTTTGCATTTTCAATAATAAGCCCGTCTCCAGCAACATGTTTCTGTTGTTGTTTTCGGCAGCAACTCTGAGCACTTTTCATACTCTTTTTCCTGGCTGAAGCACATTTGTTTCAATCTATAAGAATAATCAGCCTACACTACCAGTCAAAAGTTTTTCAACAGTAAGATTTTTAATGTTTTTTTTAAAAGGCTCTTCTGTTCACCAAGCCTGCATTTATTTGATCCAAAGTACAGCAAAAACAGTAACATTTTCAAACATTTTTACTATTTAAAATTGCTTTCTATTTGAATATATGTTAAAGTGTAATATATTTCTGTGATGCGCAGCTGTATTTTCAGCATCATTACTCCAGTCTTCAGTGTCACATGATCTTCAGAAATCATTCTAATATGCTGATTTGCTGCTCAATAAACATTTCTGATTATTGTTATTATTTAAAACAGTTTTTCAGGATTCTTTGATGAATAGAAAGATCCAAAGGTCAGCATTTATCTGAAATAAAAGGCTTTTGTAACATACACTTTTCCATTCAAATGCTTGGAGTCAGTATCATTTTTTTTTTTTGGGAAAGAAATTATAGAAATTAATACTTTTATTTTGCAAGGATGCTTAAAAAGTATCAAAAGTGATGATAAAGGCATTTATAATGTAACAAAAGATTTCTATTTCAGATAAATAGTGTTCATATCGATATCGGAATTATATCGTATCGACCGAAATTAAGAAGTATATCGTGATATAAATTTTGGCCATATCGTCCAGCCCTAGTTTAGAGACAGATGGTCAGTCAGACAGTCAGAAGAGAGAAAGATAATAACAGAGTTTTCTATATGTACGATGTTAACGGCTAGGCTGAACTCTTACTTTACAGTGGCTGCTGTGACCCACCTTTGCTTTCTGTGCATTATAGTATCTGTGTTGTTGTTTTATGTTGTATCTGAAATGAGCAACCTGACTCTGCACTGAACCGCTGTGCCAATCCATCACGTGTACTTTACTTTCCAAGAATCTGACAAACATGGAAATCATTACACTGGTCACAGGTGGTTTGGATCAAGCCTACAGCAGCTGGCCTGTGTTGAGCATGCTCTGACAGAAGAGATGTGTGACACGTAACGCAGTGCAGCTCAAGTATAACGACTGCTGCAGCTGGACTCTGTTGAACTGGCAGCTGTTGGCTAATAACACAGGACTGCAGGAACGCACCGACGGAGGTGGGCATCTCGCCCCACTGCAGCACCACGTCTTTAGTGATGCGGCCGTAGGTGTTGACATACACGCCCTCGTCCTCGTAGCACACCAGCAGCTCGATGCCGTCCGTGTTGGGCAGGATGATGATGGCGTGCGACTGGATGCTGCTCTGGATCTAGAAGCAATGGAGAGAGAGAAGGTGAAGGGTCAGGAGCACAGCTCAGATGAACAAGCTCAATGCTCTTCTCCATTAGGGCTGAACGATTAATTGCATTTGCGATAATAACGCGATATGAAATAACGCGATTTTTCAATCGCAGATACTACAGTTGTCGCGTCGCGCCACAACAGCTCTACACTGGACGCGACAAAGCGACCGTTGCAAATCATTTTAACTTTGTGTCAGTACGACATAAATAGAACAAGGCATCAGTTTAATGTCGTGTCGCGTCACGCCGCGCCGCATCCAGTGTAGACAGCGTCACTGATTATAATGGGTTCTACTGTATTTTGCCGCTCGCGTCCGGTGTAGACAGTGTTTAATGTCGTTGGTGAAGAAAGCCTGTGTGTGCCCTACGCTCGCGTCCGGTGTAGACACGGTGTTTAATGTCGTTGGTGAGGAGGAAAGCCTGTGTGTGCCCTATGCCTTAGCGGACAGCATGAAACCCACAAAAAATAAATAAATAACAGAGAGAATAATAATAGTAAGTTATTCTCTCTATGCTATTTTTCAGTGTTTCAAGTGATGCAGGTGTTTTTTCCCTGTAGGTTTTTTAAATTAAAAAAGTATACATTTTTCATAATGTTTAGTGAAATTATTTGGTAGTCTGAGGTGGAATGGGGATTTGGGAAAGGGGGGCAGATTTTTTATAGGTTTAAAGGGGGGCGCGACCACAAAAGTTTGAGAACCACTGGTCTAAAGTTAACAGACAGTGTTTAAAAAGTGCAGTCCACATGTTTACATATGTTTATTACAGTGACTTTGAATTACATAAAGTAGTGTGGTAAAGCAACAGATTTGTTTTTATATTTCTGCAATCTACTTTAGTTTGTGTGATTTGTTACTGACTTTCATATTAATGTTTACACCAGGCTTATTTAAACATAATTATTACATGCTTACAAGGTTGGAAGTTCAACAAATCAGTCAATATACTGTGATTGTAGATGTTAAATAAAAATGTAATTCATATCAATTCATGCATCACCTAATTTCATCGTAACATATAGGCCTGGCCTACAGAAAAGAACATTTATGTTTAATCTATCTAATAGTGTGTTGGGCATACTATACAATGATTTATAGCTTGTCTTTGTTGAATAATACAGAACATAAAGAGCTTTAAAAAATAATTGCATATTAAATCGCAATCGCAATATTGGTAAAAAAAATCGCAATTAGATTATTTTCCAAAATCGTTCAGCCCTATTCTCCATCTCTACATACGTGAGTCGGCAGATAGATGTCGTAGACGGCTCCCGAGTCCACATCCACGGCATGAAAGCCAGAGCAGGACCCGTAGATGACCTTTAACCTTTGGCCTTCTTCAACCGTGAGGTCAACCAGCAGCGGCTTGTGCACCAGATCACCGAAGGACTGCCACACAGAGAGGAAAACGCCTCCGGTTATCCACTCAGCTATGAGGCCCATTCACACCCGGAACGAGAACTAGAACCATAACTACATTAGCTTGATGTGTTTATCATGAAGCGCGCTCAGGCTCCTTACAGTCAGCTGGATGCTGACCGGTTGCCAATGTTTTCATCATTTATCAGCTGGAACAATCGCTCTGAAAGTGACTGCAGTGATATTGTGCCTCTGTGTAGTTCCTCAAACGAGGAGTGCTGGGCCCAGTTGCAGGAATTCCCTCAAGCTAAGAAATCCCTTAGTTATAAGGTTAAGGGAACCCTTAGTGAAACTTGGGTTGCAAGAAAAATCCTAAGGGTCAACTTAAGGAACCTTAAGGCTGCCATTAAGTATTCCCCTTAATTATCGAAGTGTTCCCATAAGCGTTGCTACAAAGTCCTTAGAAACCATTTCTCCTTAATAAATTTAAAGGGGTCATAGGATGCCCATTTTCCACAAGTTGATATGATTCTTTAGGGTCTTAATGAAAAGTCTGTAACATAGTTTGGTTAAAATTTCTCAATGGTAGTGTAAAAAACACCTTTTTGCCCTGTCAAAAACAGCTCTTCTCAGAGCAAGCCGTTTTGTAGCATTTCCCTTTAAATGTTAATGAGCTCTGCTGACTCCGCCCCTTTCTTCCGAGCTGCTCTCAGAGAGACTTTAGCTGCATTCATCGTGAAACTTGCTAATTAGCACATTATTAGGAAAGGCGATTTGCAAAGATTCATTACAAAACATTACACTCACTTCTTCTGTAGATGAGGCTGGATCACGAATGATTTGCGTGAACATAGACGCATTTATGCAGATCGGGGGAGCATTCCCTTCAGAAACAAACGAAATCCACTGCGAGTTCAGCGGCTCAGATGTCGGGAGTAAATGAGGACTGCTATGTTCATTATTACATCCAACAACAGAACACCTCAATCGCTTAGGAGTCATTCTTGTCTACATCTGCATCCGGCGGTGAAACAATGGCGGACTGATGACAGTCACTCAGGGCGGAGCTAAGGTAAGACACCAGTCCAGTCTGTGCTGAAACGCTACTGTCAATCAAACTATCGTGGGAGGGGCCTGTCTGTGTGACGTCACACAGACAGGCATCTGATTTGAGAAAGGGATAACGATTTAACGAGATTAAAAAAAAACACTGGGTGGATTTTTATCATTATAGGGTGGTTGTGTACACACACTGCCAACACACATTTCAGTTCAAACAACTTGTAAAAGTGCATGTAGCATCCTATGACTCCTTTAAGGGACCACAACAGCTCCCTCAAGTCATCTTAAACGCCGTATCTGCAGGTTTTTTAAACTCAAATGTAAGTCTTAAGATATTTTTTAAGACCTGCAGAAATAAAATATCATATGAGCACAGTAGGACAATGACTATGGTAACATTAAACTGCAAAATGACTGTAAAAAGCATGACTTACAAGTTTTCACAAAACAAAAAGTTTTATATAATTTTTTAAGAAAATGGATGAGTTGTATCAATTATTATATTAATTTAAACAATTATTATTAATCAATTATTACATTAATTAAATAACAATATAAATGTAATGTATGTCTTAATTGTTTAGATTGTTATAATGCATTATCTCCACCTGTTCACATTTACAACCCTGCGTGTTTGCAGCGTCAATTTTCACATTTGGTCAATTTTCCGTCAGTAGTCAGCAGGAGGCGCTTTCACTGCAGAAACAAAGCGGTTTCCTTGGTAACGACTGTACTCAAAGCAGCGGGGCAGCGCTCATGTTTATTTAATGTTTGTTCGTGTTTTAGTTGGTTAGGTTTGTATTTCGTTATGTTCTGTTTATTGTCATATCTATGTTTATTGTGAGATGTGGTAACTATAGTAACCGCGGCGCCCATTGCCGTATGTGGTCAGAAACTACAGTGAAAGGCAGCGCTCATGTTTATTTAATGTTTGTTCGTGTTTTAGTTGGTTAGGTTTGTATTTCGTTATGTTCTGTTTATTGTCATATCTATGTTTATTGTGAGATGTGGTAACTATAGTAACCGCGGCGCCCATTGCCGTATGTGGTCAGAAACTACCGTGAAACGCTTAGTATAAACACTTAGGTAAGGGTGACAGTTAAGACGTTTGTTGCAACGCTCCTAAAGAAATCCCTTACCTCCGGGATACTCCTAAGTCAAATTACTTAAGGACTTTCATGCAACCGGGCCCTGGTCTCTGAAAAACCTCACTCATAGCATAAAACCTCTTGAACAATTAATGCAGACAATTTCATACCTGGAAGACCAAGCCCCCCCAAATCCCTAAATGAACTATTTTTATCAAATTAAAAAGAATGCATGCTAACACTGGCTCTCATTCACTAGCAACTGTGTGAGTAGAAGTTGCACACTTATGTTGCAAAATTTCCACCAGAATAATGGTTGCAAACACACATAAACATGTTGTCATGAATGCCACATGTTCTAATGCACAGAACAAATGACGTGAAGTCACTGCGCTGGGTGTCATTTAAGCAATAACTTCACACTGTGAATGTCTGCAGACCGTGGAACTCCATGCAGCTTCTGTACTTTAACCAACCCTATAAACAGACTCCTCTGAATCATTTCATATGTTTTAGTGAAGACCAGAAAAGTGTTTGTTTGTGGTCAGTAATCGTGTAGAAGCTTTGCGCTAGTGCTCACTGTTAGTCTAGGCTCTAAGTGGCGTCCTCAGAAGTGTGTGGTGAAGAGCGAGACCGCTCAGAACAGCACTCCCGCTCATGTCAGCTTATTCACCTTGAAAGCCATGAACTTATGGTAGGGTTTGGGAGCCCAGGCGTACACCTCGACTGAATTCTTCAGAGCCAGAACCAAGAACTTGATCCTCTCGTACTTCACTACAGACCAAACACAGCAACAGACGATCAGATCAATGCCCGAGTAAGGAGCAGAAATAGCACAGCTATGATATGATATGAAGAGATATGACCACGCACCAACGTTGTAGTGCACACAGCCCTCGAGGTCTCCTACGGTGGTCCAGCCCTGCTTCTTCTCCACCTCAGGATCATTATGGAGGATCTTGTTCCTCAGCCAGGACAGATAGTACACACGCAATTTATTCTTCTTCCCTACAACAAAACAAAGAGAAGTACTTGAGTTCTCTTGCTCTTCTGGTCCAGCTGATGAGAGCCGCTGTGGTTTCCACGAGCTGTTTTGGGTTGCTTTACACGTCTTTGCTCTGTGTTGTGTGTACAGCACAGTCAAGCCACAACAGTTAGTTTTGGAAGTGTTTGCTGATTCTTGCGAGTTATGCCCAATATTACAGGAGAATTATCGGAATGCGTGTGTGAGTGTGTGATTGTGTGCGTGAGTGAGTGTGTGCGTGAGTGTGTGAGTGAGTGAGTGAGTGTGTGAGTGAGCGAGTGAGTGAGTGAGTGAGCGTGTGAGTGAGTGAGTGTGTGAGTGAGTATGTGAGTAAGTGAGTGAGTGAGTGTGTGTGAGTGTGTGAGTGAGTGAGTGAGAGGG